TCCCCCGGCTCTGTCTGCAGCGCACCGGCTGGGCGTGGGGCCTCCTGGAAGGCCTCAGCGCCTGTCGCAATGGCCCAGCCGGCGTGCTGGGGGCGAGAGGCAGTTCGAATCCCAAAGGCCCTGCCCTCCCCCTGCCAAAGGAGGGGATGGAAAATGGGACGGTTCTTGTGTCCCTCCCTGGGGTGTTCCAAGGCCCAAGGCAAATAGAAATGGCCACGTTAGGCCCCCGTCTCCGTCACATGCTAGTTCCATCCCCTCTGCCCGTGTCCTCGGGCCCCCTGGGGCAGCCCAGCGGGCCAGGTCCTGCTCTCCTGGGGCCTCGGAGGCCCCTGCAGGCGGGTGCACGGGGAGGTGCCGCCGGGAATGCGGAGCCCACACTTGGGAGTGAAGCTGGGGCAAGACGTGCTGGGAAGGAAGAGCCCTTGTGAGTCTGACGGGGGTGGGGTGCAGACCTGGGCGAGCTTCCTCTCTGGCTTGTGTCTCCTCTGCTGTCAGTACGTGGAGAGCCCCCGCTTCGACCGCCGCAACCTGGACCCGGTGTCCCTGCTGCACCAGACCACGTCCGGCCTGGCGCACCTGCACTCCCTCGGCATAGGTGAGACGGCGCTTTGTCCCCGGTGCCTTCGGGCAACAGGTCCAGGCCTAGGGGCCTGTCTGGGGCAGGGTGTTCTCCAGCCCGGGACCCGGGTGCAGGACTTGAACCGCCAGGGGCAGGCCTCGGCTTGCTGAGCCACACGGCTCGGCGGCTTTGGGGCCAGGCAGGTTCCTCCGTGGTGACGCTGTAGCTCCAGGCCATCCCGCTCAGCGTGGGCCCTGTGTCTTTCAGTTCATCGGGACCTGAAACCCTGCAACATCCTCATCTCTGCCCCCAACAGCCACGGGCAGGTCCGGGCTGTCATCTCCGACTTCGGCCTCTGCAAGAAGCTGCAGGGGGGGCGGCAGAGCTTCAGCCTCCGCTCGGGGATTCCGGGCACGGAGGGCTGGATCGCCCCCGAGCTGCTGTGCGAGGACTCGAAGGAGAACCCGGTGAGTCCCCTCAGCTCGGCTTGGGCTTGGCCTGCCCGGCCCCCTGCCGCCTCCAGCCCGGGGCTATTCGCGCTGCCCCTGCCTGGGATGCCAGTTGCTGCTTCGCTGCAGGGCAGGGGCGCCCCGAGCCCCCCCAGGGAGGGAGGTGGCTGCCGTCGGAGCCGGGGCCTCAGGGCGTTAGTGATCGGGAAGCGCTTGTGCTGTCCCTGTGCTACTGCTCTGGGCAGCTGGGTCTCATTCCACAGGTGCCTCGGGGGCTGGGCACATTTCACAAACCCTGCGCCTGGCCGTGGCAACTTGGAAACCCCCACAAAGGCCACAGGTGGGAGCCCGGCGCCCCCGGGAGCCTTTAAACTCTCCTCTCAGTCTTTCTGCCCCTAGTGATCGGGAAGCGCTTGTGCTGTCCCTGTGCTACTGCTCTGGGCAGCTGGGTCTCATTCCACAGGTGCCTCGGGGGCTGGGCACATTTCACAAACCCTGCGCCTGGCCGTGGCAACTTGGAAACCCCCACAAAGGCCACAGGTGGGAGCCCGGCGCCCCCGGGAGCCTTTAAACTCTCCTCTCAGTCTTTCTGCCCCCACAAGGCAGGGCTGGTTCCCAGTGCCCTGGGGGCAGCGCAGACAGACAGGCCCTGCTCCCCAGAGAGAGCTATGAGCGTACGGCCAGCACTGCTGCTCAGCCCCCTTCTGCAGAGAGGCGTCCCGTCCCAGCAGGCGGCTCTGCGCCGGTCGGAGAGCCCGCGGGGTGGTTGCTGCTGGAGCGCCAGTTATGGGCTTGCCTGGCTGAATCTCTGGCACCCGGCGTTCTCTGCAGAAAGAGCCGAGGGGGTCAGCGGGCCTGAGCGCTCCCTGCCCTGTTGTGTTTTGCAGACGTGCGCAGTGGACGTCTTCTCAGCCGGCTGCGTGTTTTACTATGTGCTGTCAGGGGGGGCGCACCCCTTCGGGGACAGCCTGCGGCGACAGGCTAATATCCTGCAGGGCACCTCCCAGCTGGCCTGGCTGGCGGAAGACACTCACGGTAAGGCCCTGCTCTGGCCCCGTGGGGGGCTCTGGGCTCACGGTGCAGAGGTTGGTTCATCCTAGCCTGGGGAAGGCTGGCCGGCCAGCGCTGCTGACCCCACTGTGCAGAGAGGCAGCCCCAGGCCCAGAGGGATGGGACGGCCTGTCCACAGCCCCCCAGGAAGTCGCCACAGAGCCCGGGTCCTGACTCGCTGTCCCATGCTGCAGCCCCAGTGGACAGACACTGCATGCCCCCGACAGCGGCTCCAGAGCCCTAGAACAATGGGAGAGCTCCGGGATGGTACCGGGCTACCCCGAGCCGGGTCATCTCCGGGCCTGCAGCTAATGAGCTGGACACGTCTTGAGCCGTGGGGCTCCTCCTTTGAGCCACCCCCACAGCCTGTTCGACCTTCCTCCTATTCCCAGCGCCTGCGAGGCTCCTTTGCCCATCGCGTGCCCATGGGGAGGGGGTGGAGAGTGCGGCGAGACGAGCGGCTGGGTGTGCGGTGGTTGATTTCATGGTCTCGCAGGGGTCGGGTTTGGCCCTGCACGCGCACACTCCCTCCCGGGGAAGGCGCGGGACAGAGAGCGAGAGCGTTCCTGACGTGGGCGTGAGGCGTGGGAGGCTCCCTTCAGCCCCAGGGTGTGAGTAACCTGCTCTCTGCTTTCTCGCTCCCGCCCAAGACAACGTGGTTGCAAGGGAACTGATCTCGGTGATGATCAGCAGCGAAGCCCAGGCGCGCCCCTCGGCCCCACAGGTCCTCGTGCATCCCTTCTTCTGGAGCCGGGAGAAGCAGCTGCAGTTCTTCCAGGTGAGACCCCTCTGGCCCCCGCGCCGCTGTCCCATTTCCAAACCCAGCACTGAACGCTAGTCTGTGGCCTACGAAAACAAGTGGTTTGGGGCTTTCCCCGCAGCCGGGGACTCCCAGCTGCCCCGCCGGTTGGGTGCTCTGTGCTTATAAAAGCCGCCTACTGCAGCGAATCTGCCCTTTTGTGAGCAGGGCTCCTTTTGTCCCGCCCCCATTCTTGGCTGCGGGATCCGCTCCATGCTGCACAGTCGGAGTTCTCCGTTCAAACAAGCAGCCAGCGCTTTTCTAGTCCGTTTGGCTACCAGGGCCTTGAACAATACGATCTGAGCATAAGCAACACGGGGCTGAGTCTGCAGCTAGCCTGAAAGCAAAGCGCAGGGGGGTGTCAGCTGTCCCCGTCGGCTCAGTGAAATATTGGCCCTGGAACCTGCACATGACAGTTTGGTTCACTGCTGACCAGCTCTGTCAGACACATCCAGCCATATGGGGACCCCTCAGTGCCAGGCTGCTCCCGGTGCCGTTCAAGTTGCCAGAAGCCCGAGCTGTCCCCTAGCCAGTTGTCAAATCGCCAGCATCCCCCTGACACCGCTGTTGTCATAAGAATGTCAGAATGGCCAGACGGGGTCAGACCAAAGGTCCATCCAGCCCTGTGTCCTGTCTGCCCACAGTGGCCAGGGCCAGGTGCCCCAGAGGCAGTGAACAGACCAGGGAATCAAGTGATCCCTCCCCCGTTACCCATTCCCAGCCTCTGACAAGCAGAAGCTAGGGACACCATTCTTGGCTAATAAGCATCGATTGACCTGTCCTCCATGAATTTGTCTAGTTCTCTTTTATACCCTGTTAAATGACCTGGTCTTCACTACATCCTCTGGCAAGGAGTTCCACGAGTTAACTGTGCATCATGTGAAGAAATACTCCCTTTTGTTTGTTTTAAATTTGATATCTATTGATTTCATTTGGTGACTCCTCTAGTTCTTGTGTTATGGGAACTAATAAATAATTTTTCCTTATTCAGTTTCGCCACACCAGTCATGGTTTTATAGATCTCTATCACATCCCCCCTTAGCCTTCTTTTTTCTAAGCTGAAAAGTCCCCGTCTTTTTAATCTGTCTTCATAGGGGACCCGTTCCAAACCCCTCATCTCTTTTGTTGCCCTTTTCTGTACCTTTTCCAATGTTGGTGCAGAACTCCACAGCACGCTGAAAACTGAAAATGTGGAGAGGCATCAAATAGATCGAATTGGAAGCAAAAATTATATGAATAAATCGGCCCCTGCCCCCCGCATTCAGGATCTTTGCCAGGGCCGGCTGACTGCACAGCGTGGGGGCGGCAGTGGTGAGCCGTTGGTCATGCAAGGAGAGCAAAGAGCAGCGGCCCTGCTTGGAGCAACGTGCCTTGGCATGGAGCTGTCTCTGCTCAGAAAACCAGCTTCAGATCCCCCCATCTCACCGTGCTGGAGGCTGGGACCTGGCAGGGAGCCAGTTTCTGTAGACCTCGCTGCAGCCCGAATCCCAGGAACCCCTCCTGGGGGTGGCCGAACTGCTAGCGTCCTTTGCCCCCCCGTGCTGAGCAGAACTAGCTCCACCTCCCCCGCGGGTCCCTCTGCCTTTGGAAGCAGCAGCACGGGGCGACTCCGGGACAAAGCGCAGTTTCCATTGACACCCCCTCTGGTGCGCAGGACGTCAGCGACCGTATCGAGAAGGAGCCTGCGGAGGGACCCATCCTCACTGCCTTGGAGTCTGGGGGGCCCTCGGTCGTGAGGTTGAACTGGAGAGCGCACATCTCCGTCCCGCTGCAGACAGGTAAAGGCCCAGGGGACCGGCTCACCGCGCGGCACTAAGCTCACGGCGCCATCGCACGCAGAGCCAGGCCGAGATTTTACTGGAGCTTTCCCCTGCTCCCGCCGCCTTTCCTGCCGGGCGGCTGGAAACCCAGGGACCCAGAACGGAGGATGAATCCCGCTTGCCTTCCCCTCCGCAGGGCGGGGCTCTTCTGGGTGGTCTCTTCTGTCCGTCTAACATCCCCCAAGCGCCTCTCCCTGGGGAGACTGTCCCGCAGGGCAGTGCATGCCCCGCTGGAACCTTTCCCGCCCTGATGCCTTGCTGCAAATTACTGCAGAGACCAGCCTTGCGGATGCTTATTTGGATCTCTGGCTCTTTCCAGACTTGAGGAAGTTCCGCACGTATAAGGGCAGCTCGGTACGGGACCTTCTGCGAGCCATGAGGAACAAGGTGCGTCAGCCCCCTGCTGCGCAGGCTCCAGCCTGCCCGGGCAGTGACCCCGGTAAGCATGTGCCATCTCCCTGTTCCCCACGCAGAAGCACCACTACCACGAGCTGCCGGCAGACGTGCAGGAGACGCTCGGGGCCATTCCTGATGAGTTTGTTCAGTACTTCACGTCTCGCTTCCCCTGGCTGCTGCTTCACACGCACTCAGCCATGCAGAGCTGTGCCACGGAGCGGCCCTTCCACCCCTACTACCTCCAGCAGCCCGGAGACCTTGGACACGAGAGGAGAAGCCACAGCTGGGAGAGAACTTAGAGCCGGGTCTATGCTGCCAAAGGGCAGCCTGAGGGAACAGAGATCCCAGCAGGCCGATGGATCAGCCACAAGGGCCTCGATTGTTTCTTTCGAATGCAGAGATCTCTGCAGGATTGTGTCCCACCGACCTACGCAGCTTCACAACCCGCCCTCTCCCCTTCCCCCCCCCCTTGCACTAGTGCCCTGGGGAGGTCATGGCCTCCTTTTCCAGGGAGAGGCCTGGGCTGGGAACGCAAGGGAGTTTGCTCGGCTGGTGTGTCTGTCTGGGGCTGCTCCTTCAGTCGCCCAGAGCTGGCTCCTCGTGGGTGGGGAACAGACTCTGCAGATGGCTTGAAGGGGTGAGTCCCTCTCTTGGGAACGGCTTTTAAATGGAAGCTGCCTTGGCCACGGTACTTACAGGGCATCACTGGAGCTCTTCCCGCTGCAGTCCAGGGCAGACGCAGGACATGTCAGTGGCTTGCTAGCCAGCCCGACAGACCCTTTCACTTCTGCTCTGCACACGTGTGTTGACTGGGCACAAGGGTCTCTGAGTAGTTCGTTGCTCTCGATACGTATGCATTCCCACTGGCTCCTCCAGCGCCCTGAATCCTCGGGGCTGGACCCTTCCCCAGAGCAGGCGCCTCTTAAACTGTCCCATGTCCAAAGGGGTCTGGCTCGAAGAGCCAGCCTAGCACCTGTGTTTGCTGACTCAGCAGTAGGGATGTGCGGGGCTAACCAAGCCGCATCCTTAACAGGTGAGACTTCCTGGTTATGGGTAACCGGTGGGGGCTGGAGCAGCCCCCCACTCACCGCTGTGTAATCCGTTAACCGGTTCAACATACAGTTTGGCCAGTTAGCTAATTAAACGGGATTTTCTATCCCCAGTCGGCAGGGGCCTGGCTCCAGTGCATGTCCAGGCTGCTCGGTCGCTGCCGGTGTTGAGCCTGAACCATTTCGGAGAACGAAAAATCGCCGAGGGAAGTGACGCGTCCAGGGATCGGCACAGACTGCAGTGCATGGTGGGAAATGGGTCTGTCAAGGCCAACTAAGGCAGCAGCTAGGGACAGGTGACAGGCGGCCATGCCCCCACTTCCTTAGGGAAAAGAGCTCTAGCAGGCTTGAAGCCGGCAGGGAAGCTCTGCATACCCAGAGGGCAGCCGCTTCTCTCAGCCTTCCCACGTGCATGGCCTGAGTGAGCGTAAAGCTTTCAACCCAGACTAGGTCGCTGGGACTCCCGAGCAAAGCCACCCCTGGAGAGCTGGGCACGTGTGTGCAGTCTCTGGGGGATCCCTGACTGGATTTCATCCCCATCGAAAGGTTTGGTTTAAGCTCCGTGACAAGGCATTTCTGCCCCGAAGATATGGGGGGCGGGATTAGAATGAGACTCCTGTAGGGTTGTAGCCTGGCAGCCATCACGTTACCAGCTGCACCAAGATACTTCACTGCTTTTCATCGACTTTCTGGAGTCTCTTTACATCTTGTCAAGTATCAGGGGGTCGCCGTGTTAGTCTGAATCTGCAGAAGCGGCGAGGAGTCCTGTGGCACAGGACTCCTCGCCGTCTTTACATCTTGCTTCCAAGACCCTGTCTTTCCCAGGCCGGCCCTTGCGCATCAGAAGGGGAACCCGCAGGGCCCTTGCTTGCCTATGTGCGTCTGCTAGAGCAGCACACGTCTCTCCTTGGTTCCTCTCCATGCCGCGCTGGAAGCTGGCGTCCAACGGCCTGTTCAGAACTTCCCTGTGCCTGGCTGGACTCGTGGTCGTGACACTGGATCTGCGCTTAGGCCCTGTCTGGGCCTCCCACCCGCCTGGGCCTGGGCGGGGTGTTTTGTGTACAGAAGTTGGAGGCCGCAGTTCTGAGAGGAGGGTTCTCTCTGCTGCATGGCCGGGAGGAGCTGGCCGGGGCTGGGCACAGAGGGTTTGTGGCAGCTCAGCTTGCAGGATGTAAGCGCAGGGCCTGGGTGCAGGAGCACCTCCTGGTGCCTCTTGTCCCCACCGGGGCCATTCAAGGAGTGGCCTTGCCCAGCTCTGGAGGCACGCGGGCGAGGCTGCCCCAGAATTGCAGTGATGAAGTCCCTGTGTGCGTGGCTGACTGACCAGCTCCCCTGTTCTCAGCCCAGCTCACAGGTGGGAAGGTCTGAGAGGCATGCCTGCCGCCACCGCTGACCGCGAGGCCTCCAGTGATTAGCCCCCCATTTTCTGTTCATACATAGAGGGGGACCTTCTCCTCTGGGCAGAGCGCCCCCCTTGGTCCGTAAGGCCTGACTGGCCCCCGCTCTCCCAGGACCCCCAAGAAGCTGCAGGAAAGGCCACAGCTTCCAGTCTCCCATCGCGAGAATCCTTTTGCAGCTGCTCCAGCATCCCATCTAGAATCTCCCTGCAGAGGCCACATCTGAGCCGTGCCCAAGAGAACAGTTGCCATGGAGACGGTGGGAGCATTTCCTGGTTTTCCTCCTTCCAGGACAGGCCGGGCCTGGCTGGGAGCAGGCCAAGGATCCTGAGTGAGGCGTTGCACCCGCTGGTTCTCACTCAAGGGCCTAGGCCGAGGGAGGGGGGAGGAGAGACCCCGGGAGCCTTCCCACTAACGAGGCCTGCTCCAGCTCCGCCAGGACAGAAGAGTACCCGTCGGCAGAGGGGGCTGAGGCCTTGAGACCGGCCTCTCCCCGGAGCTGGGTGGCACTTGCGGGGCTGAGTCCTGGCCAGGCTGCAGCTCACGCAACGGGAGACTCGCTAACGTGTCTCTGAGCCCCTTCTGCATTCAGCAGCCCGGGGGGCACGCGCTGCTGGGGTCTCAGGGCCCCAGGCCTGACAGTCTCTGCTAGCTCTGCTTGCCTGCTGCTTGGGGCGTGGGGGTTGGGCTTTGATGGAGCTGGTGCGAGGGCTGTTCCTGTGGTGACAAGCGGCTTGCACCGGGGCGCTGGGCAGAACATTCGATACGGCCGGGAACGTGTTGTACCGCACGCTGTAAATACAGATGGTTTTGAAAGTTTGGCCTTGTGGCAATACCTGACCCACCTGCTTGGGAGCTGCAGCTCCAACCCGCAGGGCCCCAAAATGTGCATGTTCAGCCCTGCCCGGGAGGGGGGGAGAGCAGGGGGAGTCCTTTGGGCTCCTTAGCACCACAGCTCAGGCCTTCGTTATAGACCTGCCCATGAAGCATCGTCAAGGCTTGGCTCCAAGCCAGGTAGCTCTTGTCCACTGGAGTGACTGACCAATGATCACGGGGGAGGGTGGCCTGCTCCCGAGGGTGGGATGGTCTGTGCAGGTTCAGATATTGAACCCTTGTGGACAAAAGCTGCAGCCCGGGAGAGTCCCAGTGGGGGATTCTGTCCCCAGCCTCATGGCCAGGCTAGGCTGCCTGGTTGGACCAGGCCTCCCAAGGGCTCAGCTCTAGGAGTGAAGGTAGAACGTGATGGAGCCCAGAGCCCATGGCCCCATTTCCAGATCAAAGCATCCTGTCAGCCTCCTGAGAAACGGCCACTTCTCCCCCCTCGCGGCCGTGGGCCGAACGTGCCGCTTGCCCTCACGCTGCTGGGACAGGGAACTCTGACCAGGTCCAGGATTTGGCAGGAGCAAGAGGGAACAGCTGAGCGCGCAGACACGGGGGCTCTGTGAGGCTTCTCCAAGCAGTTGCCCTGGGCCATGGCTTGCTGGCTGCTTCCCGCAGTGGAGCATCGTCCCTTCCAAACGCAGAGGATGTTGCCCCCTTCGCCAGTGCTGAAGCTGTCCACCAGCCATGGTTAATAACCCGCCTCCTGGCTTCAGCTGACGGACACCAGGCGGTTTTATTGCATGTCGATAGCAGGCGCCTGACCAGCACCAGCAGGCAGATGTGACAAGCGCTGACACGGCCACAGCTAGCAGCACTGCCCCAGCCGCAAGACAGGAACCACGGGGCAGTACCAATTTCCAGGCATGTGGGGCTGGGGTCTCCAGGGTGAAGGAGCAGCAGCTGGCTCAGTGCTGGGCAGTGCAGGGTGACACTGAGCTCCTGGCCTGCCGGTGAAGGATGTTTCATATCCAGTCCCCCCGGAAGGGTCACAGAGGCACTGTGGGGGGAGGGGGCAGCCTCAGGTTCAGACTAGCTTGGAGGTTAAGCAGTTCCCCCCTCGCCTCTGCTCTGGTGCTAGAAGGGGAGGGGGCAATCCTCCCCTAGAGCTGCTGCCCCACACAGGCTCCGTGTCTAACTTTTATCCCGAAGCAGCCCCCTGCCTCCCCAGCAGAGCGGGGGGACGGGACACCCTGTAACTGACCCTGCTCGGAGGTGGGCTGTGCCTGTGTGCTCACGAGCCCGGCGACAGGTTCTGTTCGTCTGTGAAGTGCTACCAGCCCCTTGGTTGTTTTTTAGAGTCACGCTGGTTAGCCCCAGGCGCCCTGCAGGGCCCGTTACCGCATCTCACCGGGGAAAACCCGCCCTCTCTGCGCCTGTCCCGTACTGACCCAGAGCACCAGGCGAGGGGCAGCTGCTCCCGAGGGGCCTGGCTAGTAACCCGCCCTTTGAGGGGTAACAAGGCCAAGTCCCACTGCCGGAGTGTGGGGCTTCTGGCCCTGCCTGGGGGCTACAGCCACAGCCAGGGGAGACAAGGCCCCCCCCCTCAGTTCTTTCCATGAGACTCGCTGTGGGCAGAGGGATGGATTGCTGCCTGTTAGACAGCCTGAGGAAATGGCCTCTTCCTCGTCTCACTGCGGGAGGCCAAGCAATGGAACCCCTCCCCCCCGGAGGAAAAGGCTTCACCCCAGGGCTGGCCCGTTCCCCAGGGTGCAGTCCTGGCTCCACGCAGCAGTGCAGGGGAGTGGGAGTCTTTCCATGAGACTCGCTGTGGGCAGAGGGATGGATTGCTGCCTGTTAGACAGCCTGAGGAAATGGCCTCTTCCTCGTCTCACTGCGGGAGGCCAAGCAATGGAACCCCTCCCCCCCGGAGGAAAAGGCTTCACCCCAGGGCTGGCCCGTTCCCCAGGGTGCAGTCCTGGCTCCACGCAGCAGTGCAGGGGAGTGGGAGGCCCCAG